AGTGTGCAGCCTAATATTAATAACATCACTAAGAAAGTTTGCTTGTGCCACCTCTGACTCCCTCCCCCACGCAATGTTTTTTTCCCAATACCAGGACCAAATAACCAAAAATCAAATTTCTAGTCATTCTATATCATTTATTGAGGAGCTATTGCTGACACTATTCTGGATACTTGGTGCTATATATAGATAAATATAAGTGTGAATGTTTCCTATCTTTAGAAGAGCCCACCTCCACAGAAAGAAAGGGGCTCTGAGGACCACTGTACCCTGTCTGATATTTTGCCTCATAAAGCTATGATTCTTGTTTTCCTTAACTGTTAATTCTATATCCTTTAAAAAAATCCAACTGAATTTTTAAACTGTTTAGTGGAAGTATAGCAAATATACAGAAAAGTAATAAGTGGAAAAGTCATTAAATTATCACAAACTGAATGTGTATGACCACAATCCAGGTCAAAGAAATAGAACATTACTAACATCCCAGGGGGCCCTATATCACTCCAACCCCAGCCCCTCCCCTCTCCTCAAAGGTAACCAACTTTGCTTTTTTTGCTATTTCATATAAATATAATAATACTGTAGGCATTCTTTGTGTCTGGCTTCTGTTGTTCAACATTGCATGTGTGACATTCATCCATATTGTTGCATATAACAGTAGTTTGTTTTCATCACTATACAGTATTCCATTCTTATGAACACACCAAAATTTGTTTATCCATCTACTACTGTTGAACATTTGAGTTATGGATTTGGGGCTGTCATAAATAATACTGCCATAAACTTTATTGCACATGTCTTTGGGTCATACATGCACACATTTCTGAGGGTGTATACGTAGAACTATTGGGTCATAGTATTATATTAAACTTCAGTGGATAATACAAAATAGTTTTCTAAAATAGTTGTACCAATTTACCCTTCTACCAGCAGCATGAGGATTTAAGTTGTTCCACATTCTTGCCCACATTTGGGATTGCTAGTCTTTCATATTGGAGTCCATTTGCAGGGTGTATAGTGGTATTATTACTTTATATTCCCTGATTACTAATGAAATTAGTAAGGAAACACCTTTTCAAATGTTAATTAGACATTTGGATAGCCTCTTTGGTGACATGCCAGTTTAAAGCTACCCTGTTTTCCTGTTTAGTTTTGTTTTTTGTTTTTTTTTTTCCTGTGGGGTTATCTTTTTCTTGTTGATTTAGAATTCTTGATAGAGTCTACTTTGTAGTTCTTTGTCAGTTAAATGTTTTTATCTTCTCCCACTGTGGGTTGCCTCTTTGTCTCTCGATCTACTGAAGTTCTTAATTCTGATGTAGTCCAATTTACCAACCTTTTT